ACGAAAAGCAAGAGGGAGAAGGAGGAGGAATCGGATCCAATGCCATCAGTACCGAGTGCTGAAGGGGAGGTGGAGGAGGTGCAGGAAACGGGGGAGGAGGCGGCGGGGGAGGACGAGGAGGGATGATGGGGCGAAGGAGGAGGAGGAGACGGAGGAGGGGAGGAGGGGAGGGGGAGGAGGGGGAGGCAGAGGTGGACGAGGAGGAGGAGGAGGAGGAGGAGGAGGAAGAGGAAGAGGAGTAGGGGGAGGAGGAGCTCTCGCTTTCACCAATTCAGTTCATCATCCTAAAACCTGAGGGTTCGTGAATCTGGGGGGAGGGGGTAACACGACGATGTGCGCTTTCACCGTCTGCCCCGCAGCTCCGTTCGGAAAACTGTGCACTCAAAATGAATGGCAGGTGACCGCGCAGCGCGGAGGCCGCTGCGCGGGAGCCGGGAGCCTGGTCGATAGCCTACTAGGTCCAGACAAGGGCGGACCGGATAATCAAACCACACCAGGAAAAACTTCGTCCTCTGACGGCTGACTACTATAGCTCGCGAGCCTCGCGATCATTTCCTCTTGGTCAATAACTTCCTAGCTAGGTTCCCGCGCGGCACCCGACTCATCTTGATCTTCCCTCCGCTGTGTCTCACCTGCTCCCCTACTGCGGCCTCGGCATTCAGTATTAGGCCTTTGGCCTGCAGCACCGCGGTGGGGGTTCCCAGCGGGCTCAGCGTGTGGATGAGGGTGGCCCTGCTTGTCGGCTGCTGCCAGAAGCTCTCGTTGGTGCTCCGCTGCGTCTGGAACCAATACCTGCCCGAGGAACCTGAGTAGGAGTCTGCTCTTCTGTGTCGGGTCTTACTTGTCGTAGGTCGGGAAAGCCGCAGCTTCTTTGATGCAAGATGCCACCCCTTCTGGATCTGACTTTCGAATCATGGCGACTAGATGTTCGACCACGTACTTCATCTTGGACCTGCGTCCCGAGGTGTCCTTTGAGGGTTAATATTTCAAGACGTGCAGCGCGCTGTAAGCTGCTTGGGAGGCTGATGAGCCAAGGTCTGCCTTCGGGTCGTCCTCACGTTCGTTCACGAAGTCCTGGCACGACCTGTTGCAGTTGATCACGATCTGGTGCTTCTGATTGAGGATGACCGTGCTCATCGTCTCATGCTCGGAGGCGCACTCTGGATTCAAGCTTTGAGCTCCTCGTCTTCCTCCTCCTCCTCCTCCTCCTCCTCCGCCTCCTCGTCCTTGCCGACCTTCTTTACCTTGCGGCGCTTCGAGGCTCCCACAAAGCTCGGAGATTTTTCTCGTAGAGGAGGAGGATCAGGAGGAGAAGGAGGAGGAGGAGGAGGAGGAGGAGGAGGAGGAGGAGGAGGAGGAGGTATGAGGAGGAGGAGGATGAGGAGGAGGAGGAGGAGCAGGGGAAGGAGGAGGGGGAGGAGAAGGAGGAGGACGAGGAGGAGGTGGAGGAGGAGGAGAAGGCGGAGGAGGAGGAGGAGGACGACGACGAGCGACGAGCGACGACTGACGAGCGACGATTACGATGACGAGGACGAGGACGACGACAAACCGACGACCGACCGACGACGAGGACGGCAGCGAGCGGCGAAAAACGACGACGGCGATGATGATGATCAGGGTGATGATGATGAGGATGATGAGGGTGATGATGATGATTCTGATGATGGTGATGGTGATGGTGATGATGATGGTGATGGTGATGGTGATGGTGATGATGATGATGATGATGATGATGATGATGATGATGATGATGATGATGACGACGACGACGACGACGACGACGACGACGACGACGACGACGACGACGAGGACGAGGACGACGACGACGACCGACGAAACACGAACGACGGCGCTCGCCGACGACGGCGAGCCCAGCCACCCAACCTCGCGCCCTCGCCTTCCCCCCGGTGCGCGACTGCACTGCTCGCGCCTTCAGCGCCATCCCGCCGCCCCCCCTCCTTCGACATGGGCAGCCGCGCTGCCCACGGCTGCGGCGGCCTCGAGGCCCGACCACCTCTACATCGCCTCCTCCTCAATCGTTTCCTCCTCAGCCGTTTCCTCTTCTCATTATTATTATTCTTCTCCTCCTCCTCCTCTTACTCCTCCTTACCCTTCTCCTCCTCCTCCTCCTCCTCCTCCTCCTTCTCCTCCTCTATCCCCCTCTCCTACCTCCTCCCCCTCCTCTGCTCTCCTCCATCCTCACCTCCTCCTCCTCCTTCCTCCTCCCTCCGCCTCCTCCCCCTCCTCCTACTCCTCCTTTTCCCTACTCCTCCCCTTCCTCTTCTTCTCATCATCCTCCTCCTCCTCCTGCTTCTCCTCCCTCCTACTTGCCTCCCCAACTCCTCATTTCTCCTTCCTCCTCCTCTCCTTCCCCTCCTCCTCCCCCCTCCTCCTCCTCCTCGCCTTCCTCCTCCTCCCCCCCTCTCTCCTCCTCCTCCTCCTCCTCCTCCTCCTCCTCCTCTCCCTCCTCCTGCCCCTCCTCCTCTTCTCCTTCTTCTTCTCCTTTTTCTCCTTCTCCGTCTTCTTCTTCTTCTTCTTCTTCTTCTTCTTCCTCCTTTTCATCCTCCTCGTCGCCTTCGTCGTCCTCCTCCTCCTCCGCCTCCTCGTCGTCGTCCTCCTCCTCTGTCAGCCCCAGCTTCCCACACACCGTCGGAAGAGATCTGTAGGTGCTGTTTATGTTCGGATTCCCGGGCCTCTCGGCCCAATGCGGTCCTAAGAGGACTTCGGATGAGCCAGCCAGAGAGAGAGAGAGAGAGAGAGAGAGCCGCAACTAGCCCCATGGGACTCCCAATGAGACATTCCAAGGTCCCGAGAGGGCCCACAGGGGCCTCACCATGCTCCGAAGACAGCCACCATAGATCCCCCAGACGGCCAAGACGGGCTCAAGTCGGCCCAAGAAGTCCCCAAGGCGGCACCAGAGGGTCCCCACAATGGCACCAAAACGGCCCTACAAGAGCCAATGAACGCACCAATACGACACTCATTGAATAGAGTCGAGGGATGTCGCATGTTGCGGCTTTCTAAGCGACCGTCCCCTGTTCAAGTAACAATGGGTTGTGACGAGGAGATGAATATAGGAGACGAGGACGACGACGACGACGACGACGACGACGACGACCACGACGAGGAGAGACACGCCAAAACGACGCGGAAGCGCATGTAACATGCTGCAGCTCTCCCCAGGCTCGGGACGAGAGCTCGGACGCTGCCAACGGCCCCCGAGCCTTGTGATGCCGAGCTCGATGACAGACCTACTATGTTCCAACGCATGTTGCTTCCCAAGCTTTCCTTGGGTCACCGACGTCTGCGCTCTGCACCCCGCAGAATGCGCGCTCGTATGCTCGCGCCCTCGGCTCGGCGCCCCGGAGAAGAAGGGGTACCTTCGCGCGCCAATGGGCCGCGGCGCGTGCAGCGCGTATCCTCTGCGCGCCCTGCGGGCGACGCAGTCTTCGGCCCACAGCGGAGGCCAATCCACAAGAAACCCTCAATAAGAAACCCAGCCCTGAGACTCCAGGACGTCCATTGATTTTTGGTGTGGGAATGTCGCGCTTTCCATCGCAGAGGCATCGACGCCCAAGAAACCCATGGCACCCTGGAGGCAAGCAGGGTGTTTCTTGACATGGGCCTCCACTGTAGGGTGGCTTCAGGGTCGCCACAGGGGGCCCCAGCAAATCCGCAGCAGACCCCAAGACGGCCCGACGAGAGCCACCTGCGAGCGGGGGCGTCCAAGAGGGGGGTGCGCAAATCATGCGGCCCAGGGGGGGTCAGGGGACGCATTGAAATAAAAAGAGGCGCTGTGAAATCTGCGGAGATGTCATGGCTCCCGCCATGACCTCCCCCCCAGTCATTACCCCCCTCTTTGCCGCCCCCGAGACGAGGGTCCGAGTCCGGACGGGCCCGAGGAGGCTCTGCGAAGCCCCTTCGGGGAGAGGTCGGTGGAACCACCGCGCGCCAGGACAGCCCCTTATGAGGCTCCCCAACAGGCCCCCGAGAGGACCTCGAGACGGCCCCAGCAGGCCCCGAGAGAGCTGCCAGGAAGCCTCAAGATTGGCGGCGAGCCTGGGGTGGGGGAAATGAGAAGGGGGAAGGCCTTCTCAGAAAGCTCGGAAGTCCCCTGGCCTCCTGAGAAGTTTTCTAAGCCTTCCCAGGATACGCAAAAAGCTTCTCAGAAGGCGCGAGGGCTTCTGAGAAGTCCCGCCCAGGGCCACAACCGATGCCCTCGGGTGTGCTGGGACCTGTCTCTAGCCGAGATTCCCTCAGCCTCGTCCTCCTCCTCAACCTCCTCCTCCTCCTCCTCCTCCTCCTCCTCCTCCTCCTCCTCCTCCTCCTCCTGTATTGCAACATCGTTGAAGGCCTTCTCCTTCTCACTCCCCACCCGCTCGCTGCCGACAAGAGGCAACGGATCAGCCATGCGGAGCTGCGGCCACGCCGCGCTGCAGCGTCGTGGCGCTGCGTCGTGGCTGGTTCTGCCTGGTCCTTTTCGGAACCGTTTGGCAGATCCATCACGCCGAAGCGGACCCAGGAGAGTTCAGGGTGCGGCCGGGGCTCCGTCGAACCATGACTCTACCGATCTTCTCGAGGACAGCTGGACAGGCAGAACCATCCTGCATACACTGCGGCGCTGGCACCCTGGCCAGGTTTGCCGCAGAATGTTGGAAATACGCATCTGCGCATGCATGCCTGCGTGTGGCAATAGGTTATACAGAGGCACCTGCGTATAACGGTGAAGCGAAAGGAGGGGCAATACTGTGTATAATCTTGTTTATGGCAAATGCGTGCTTGGGCACTCGTCAGCAAAAGCACGGTCGATGCTGCCCGATGTGGGCCATGGACGCGTCGGCAGAGACATGCTGCGCGTCAGTCAAGGCGCTCTGGCGGGTGCGAGTTCGTCCGGAGCACAAGCCGATCGAATTCTGTCAGAGGCTTCAGATGTTGCGCAGCTGGTTCTTCAGCGTATCTAGGCTTGTCGCCACACGCTCGATCTTCTCCCACAGCTCTCCGATCGAGTTGTCCACCCGCCTGCGGAGGCAACGTTTTCCCAGACGACTGGGGCACTCTCTTCCCCCTGCCACCTCCAGGGAAAGGAGGTGGAGGAGGAGGAGGAGGAGGCGGAGGAGGAGGAGGAGGAGGAGGCGGAGGAGGCGGAGGAGGAGGAGGAGGAGGAGGAGGAGGAGGAGGAGGAGGAGCATTTTGTGAATGTGTGCGGGTGGAGGACAGAGGAGTCTCCCCCCTTATCTGGGCTTACTTGGGAGAGGATCAGCATTCGCTTCCCTGGGAGCTGGGGACTGAGCGGAGACGGGCTGGCTAAGCTGGTGTTGGCGCTAACCGAGGTTAGGCACTTTCGATTTCTAGCTCAAGCCACCGCACCGCAACACACAGCTGCAGTGATAGGTGCAAGCGTGACCGCTTAAGCCCGAGCTAGCTGCCATGATGGGAAGCGTTTCAGCATGTAGCGGCCCTCAAACTTTGATCAGCGACGGCCCCCCAAGCACGTGTTGCGGTGCAGCATTGTGCCGTGTCGGTGGACGCCTAACATCCTGCATCGCAGGATTGTGCAACACCTCGCGCTCTGGCCGACCTCTGTTGTGGCTGACCCCCGTAATCCCTGACTGCCACCGTAGTTGCTGGCCGCTTGTTGACGCCAACGTGAAGGACATATGCATATGCACATATACGTATATACACACATACAGAGAGAGGTACACATAGACACGTTACATGTAGTTATGCGTGTGCACATAAGATCATTTAGGGTACTCGAGCCGCGCGTTCGCTTTGCGCGCGCGCTTTGGTTCTAGCCCCCCCCCGCCTTTGATAATTCACAACGGGCGCTCCTTGGGCCGTTGGCCCTACTTGTGCGACTGGGCCTCTGGACGCCCTCGCCCCCTCCGCCTCCGCCTCCTCCTCCGCCTCCTCCTCCTCCTCCTCTCTTGGTGCTCCTGCGGGCGGGGCGTGCGCCTCCTGAGTGGAATCTCTGCTCATGGCGGCGCTTCTTCGGAGGGCTCTTGGGCGCCTGAGGGGGCGCCTCTGGAAGGCCGCCTCCTCCTCCTCCTCCTCCTCCGCCTCCTCCTCTTTCTCGGGACCTGGGAGCACCTTCAGAGAGTCTTGGGGGCATCTTGGGAGCACCTTCGGAGAGTCTTGGGGGCCAGTTCAGGGGGACGTCTCCTGGGGGTCCCTGGACTTCCTTCTCTCGGGGGCATCTTGGGCTGTCTTGGAGGCCATCGTCATCACCACCATGATCATGAAGTTCATTCTCAGCTCGGCCAGGGGGCCAGGTCATCAAAGCACACCCAGTGTGTGTGTGTGTGTGTGTGTGTGTGTGTGTGTATGTGTGTGTGTGTGTGTGTGTGTGTGTGTGTGTGGGGGGGGCAGAATTGTAAGGCGCTGAAATGGGGCGTTCTTTTGGAGTAGGGAACGCGCAATGAACGATATGTAGTACCTGGCCACACTTCTGGGAATCTTGTCTGGTATGTGGGCGCGAGGCCTCTCAGAGGCTTCTTCGGGTCTCTTGAGGGAGGCTTCTCGGGAGCCTCTGGGAAGTATGTTAGGGGCTTCTGGGGCCTCTTGGGGCCTCTTGGGGGTCTTGCGGGCCTCTGGGGGCCTCTGGGAAGCCTCTCGGGGGCCGACTGGTGGTCTCGGTCTCTGGGGTCCCTTCTTGGGGCCTCTTGGGTGCGTGCGTCTTGAGCGCCCTTGGGGGCCTCCTGGGTTGCCCCTGGGCCCTGTTGGGCCGTCTTGGGACCCTTTTGGGGGCCTCTTGGTCCGTCTTTGGGCGATCTGGGGGGCCTCTTGGGCTGTTTGGGGGCCGTCTTGGGGGCCTCCTGGGCCGTCTTGATGGGGTCGGCAGCGAAAGAGCGCTGGAACCTGAAAACCTGACAAAACCTGCAGGACATCAGTTTGGCATGTTGGCGCCCTGTTGGGGGTCCTCCCTGGGCGTCTCAGAATGCGGCTCTTTTGGGTCATTTGTGCCATGCCTTGAACGCCACTTGGCGATCTCGGGGTCGTCTTGTCGCCGGCTTGAGGCCCTCGACGGCCTCTGTGACCCATCTGGGGAGCGAATCCACCCCGCAGAGGGCGGAAAACGTGCCCTAGACCCCGAGGGCCGAATTCGAGTCCCAGGGGGGCGGGGGCATTTGCCATTCTGTGATGGGGGGGGGGCACTGGAGGGCCCAACACTCCGACATGATTTACACACATATATGTGTATATATTTATATTTATATCCCACAAAACATTCGCACTCACCTGCAACGAACGATGGGTGACACTGAAACGCACAAAGCAAACCCGGAGCCACGCAATGACCAACCTGCAATAGGCGAGCCCGTGCGCGAAACCTTGGCAAGTGCAGCAAAACGGAGCAATGCTACAAATGAAGACGAGGCCGAGGACGGAGGATGAGGAGAAGGTTGTGAGTACCGTCGTTGTGAGTATCGTCTCGAAATTTGGTGGGACAGCCAAGCGGGAGCTGCCACTGGAGCCTTCGAGCATCGCGGGGGAAATGAAATGAACGAGGGGGGCCAGCAACCGGGGCAACTGGGGCCTTCGCGATGGAGCTCAACGAAGGAGTGCGAGAGTGGGCCGAAACGGCAAGTGGGACTGCATGCGGGCGCTGCCCCTGCAGGGCTAAGGCGGAGCTCCCTGTGGCACAGCGCACAGCCCCATTGGGCCACAGAACGTGTGGGGGGTCGCCGACATGGAGTCCCCTTCAACGAGCCCGCGCCCATACGTTAGCGAGGCATGCCAAGCTGCATTTGCACTCGAGATCGGCTGGGCCGAGACTGGGACTGCTCGAACGGGCGACACGGACAGTGCCCCGTCGTTGCAGAAGGCTGCGTCGCCACAGCGCCTTAAGCTGCTCGCAGTGGGAGTTCTCGCATCAACATGCAAGGCCCTGCCCCAAGCAATAGCTCAACACGTGGCCCTTGCAGGCCTAGGGTTAGATTCCGACCGGCAAACACGCCGTACATCCATGCCGTGATCCAACCGCCGAGCCCCTCGCCCCACAATATTGCCACGCTCCAGTCTGCAGTTGGAGGTCCACCAACAGGCCACGCCACCTGTCACAGCAGGTCAGCAATCGGCCGACAAAGAGGCGCCTACTCCACCAGAGCGGCAACACCAAACAATATGACCTGTCACATGCCACGGCTTTTTTGGACTGGGGAAGCGAGCCGTTGCCTGCCATGGGCCTCAAGGCCCTGGTGAAGAGAGGCTTCGCAATGACACGAGGAGCTTGGGAACACAACTGTGACATGCGACCTCGTTCAGTAGTCCACGAAAGAGACAGATGCCACATATTACGAAAGTGCGCCAGTGGATCTCCCTGAATACCCTAAAAGGGGGGGGGGTCCAGAACCCCCCCCCCTCCTTCCTTCAAGGGGGGGGGGGTCCGGACCCCCCCCCCTCCCCCCCTTAAGGGGGGGGGGTCCGAACCCCCCCCCCTCCCTCCCTTGAAGGGGGGGGGGGGTCCGGACCCCCCCCCCGCCACTCCCCCCCTTGGCGCTGGAAAGGGGGTGGGGGGGGTTCGGACCCCCCTCCCCCTCGTGTAGGGAGTGCGGAGTTGGGAGTAGGGAGTGGTGAATAGTGAGTAGCGAGTTAGTGCGTAGTGAGTAGTGAGTACTGGGTAGCGCGTAGTAGTGAGTAGTGAGTATGAGTAGTGGGTAGTGAGTGGCGAGTAGGGAGTAGGGAGTAGGGAGTGGTGCGTAGTGAATAGTGAGTAGTGAGTGTGTACTGATAAGTGAGTAGTGAGTGGCTAGTATTGAGTTGTGAGTAGTGAGTAGCGAGTAGCGATTAGTGAGTACTGAGTAGGGAGTAGGGAATAATGAGTACTGGGTGTTGAGTAATGGGTGGCGAGTAGTGATTAGTGAGTAGTGATTTGTGGGTGGTGCGTAGAGCGTAGTGAATAGTGAGTAGTGAGCAGTGAGTAGTGAGTAGCGAGTAGTGAGTAGTGAGTAGAGAATAGTGAGTAGTGAGTAGTGAATACTGAGTAGTACGTAGTGATGACTAGTGAATAAAAAGTAGTGGGTGGTGGCAGTGGGTAGTGAGTAGTGAGTAGCGAGTAGTGAGTAGTGAGTTGAGTGTAGTCAGTAGTGAGTAGTGGGTGGTGATTAGTGAGTAACGAGTAGGGAGTAGCGAGTAGTGAGTAGTGAGTGCTGAGTAGGGAGTAGGGAGTAGTGAGCAGTGAGGAGTAAGAAGTGGGTAGCGGATAGTGGGTAGTGAGTAGCGATTGGTGAGTAGTGGGTAGTGAGTAGTGACTAGTGACTAGTGAGTTGTGTGTAGTGACTAGAAACTATGTAGTGACTAGTGAGTAGGGAGTAGTAAGTAGTGAGTAATGAATAGTGAGTAGCTGGAAGTAAGTAGTGAGTATTGAGTAGCGAGTATGGGAGTAGCGAGTAGCGAGTACTGAGTACTGTGTAGTCAGTATTGTGTAGGGCGTAGGGAGTAGCGAGTAGCGAGTAGTGGGTAGTGAGTAGTCATTTGTGGGCAATGAGTAGTTAGTAGTAAGTAGTGAGTAGTGGATAGTGGGTAGTGGGTAATGAATAGTGATTATTGAGTAGTGAATAGGGAGTAGTGAGTAGTGCTTAGTGAGTAGTGAGTATTGAGTAGTGAGGACTCGAGTAGTGAGTAGGGAGGAGGGAGTAGTGAGTAGGGAGTAGTGAGTAGCGAGTAGTGGGTGGTGGGTAGTGAGTAGTGGAGAGTGAGTAGTGAGTCGTGAGTAGCGAATAGCGAGTATTGAGTAGGGGGTAGTGAGTAGGGGGCTGGGGTTAGTGGTTAGGGGGTAGGGGGGCCCTCGTGACTCCCTTTGGGGCTGGGGTTAGTGGTTAGCGTTCGGATTCGGGGTTTGGGTTCGGGTCAGGACTAGGGGTAGGGGTGGCGGGGTCGGGTTCCGGCGTCAAGGGGCGGCGTGGCGAAAGGGGGGGAGGGGGGGGGTTCGGGCCCGCCCGCCCCCATTTGAAAGGGGGGGAGGGGGGGGCTCCCCGACGACGGGTCGTGGAAAGGGGGGGGAGGGGGGGGTTCCCGACGACGGATCGGGGAAGGGGGGGGAGGGGGGGGGGTTGCCCGACGACGGATCGGGGAAGAGGGGGGAGGGGGGGGGTCCTAACCCCCCCCCCCTGAGGAGATCCAGCGGCGCACCCTCACATATTACCGCTATTTCATAGACCACCCTTTGGGTGATAGGAAATGTCTTTTCGGGGGAAAAAAGGTGGGAGGAACTTGCGTGTCGATTGCGATGCGAGGTGCGTTTTGATGTGCGTCTCGATTTGCATGTCTGTCGCGGTTTGCATATCAAGTTGCATGCTGCGTGACCTTCGATGCAACAGCCATTTGTGAGCGTTGTCTTACCCGGCGTTGCGACATTGGGCGGAAGGGGGGGAGACGGGGGGGGGTCTGGCTCTGGACCTCTGCTTAGTGCGACTGTTTGGGACCGTGCGCCCGATGGAGGGGGCTCCGCCTGCTCGAAACAGACACCCAAAACAGCCAAGATCTACTCAATAAAACGGGGGGGAGAGGGGGGGGGGGCGAGGGCCCGCGCCGATCGGCAAAACAACGAATAAAAAAACGCCCACCATGTCGATTGTTATGCGAGTTGCGTTTTGATGTGCATCTCGGTTTGCATGTCGGTCGCGGCTTGCATACCAAGTTGCATGGCACGTGGCCGTCGATGCAATCTCTCCTTCCCAAACGGTGCTTGCACTGAAGGCTTGTTGCTTGTCTCCTACGAGGAACGGGGCCTGGGCTCCTGGCGGCTTCGCGGTCACCGTCGCCGCCCCGCTTTGCCGCCTCGTCGCCGCCGCCCGCTTGGCACTGCTGTTTGCATTGCTTTTCCTTGTTTCTCGTCGGTCTGCACTGATCTTGCAGCATCTGTGGTGCAACATCGATTCTCTTTTCTGAAGAGATAATAGACTCTACCTCCCCCCCCTGGGGTTTATCGACCCCCCCTTTCGTAGTGCAGCTTGCACATGACTCTGCCCCATCGTCCATCCAGAATATGAATTCACACCATCCCAGGGGGGGCGGTATCCCCCCCCCCCCCCCTCTCCTTCGAGAAAAATACGGTGCGCGCGCACTCAAACATCAAAAATCATCAATTGTCATGAACCCGTTGCAAAAGCATGGAACGAACTGCGCAAGCCCGCGTTGTCGCGCGCATGCCGGAATCCTTCAAAAACCTTCGGTTTCATAAGGGTTTCAAAATCGAGTGTCCCAAACACATATAAAACACAAGTTTTGGCAACACGGATGTTCAAAAAAAGCTTGCGTGCGCTCTTGCGAATTCTGAAGAAGCCATGCGTTTCCACATGTTTCAGAACAGTGGTTCAATATTTCCAGAAACTGCTACCAAACGGGCTTTGCGCGCGCATGTTGAAATTGTTCGAACGCCCTTGCGCGCGTGCCGTCGCGAGAACCTGTTGCAGACAATGAAGCGAAGTGCACACGCGCGCGTCGTCGCGCGCGCATGCCGAAATCCGTCAAACGCTTTCGGTTTCGTAGCGGTTTCACAACTTCGTCTACCCTGGACCGCCTGAGGCCTATGTCGACCTTCCCGTCGATCCCCTCGATGATCCCTGTCAAGCCACCGCCGTCGGCTTCCTCCGTAGTGCCCTCCTCGGTCTCTTGGGGAGCGGAGGGGGCGAGATGCATCCGCTGCCTCCCCAACCTCCTCCTCTTTCTCTCCCGCCCCCTCCTCTTCCTCCCTCTGCCCCTCCTGCTCCCTCTTCCCCTCTTGCTCCTCCTGCTCCTCTCTCCCCCCCTCATTCCTATATTCTCCCTCTTTCTTCCCTATCGTGCTCCCTCCTCCTCCTGCGCATTCCTGCTCTTGCTTCTCCCTCTCCTCCTCCGCCTCCTCCTCCTCCTCCGCCTCCTCCTCCTCCTCCTCCTCCTCCTCCCCTTCCTTTGTCTCCTTCGCAACCTTCGCAACCTGAAAGATGTCCGACCATACCATGCACAGCTGGCACCCTACAACAGCAATCACACATCAAATCCATGCGGATTAGAGACAAACACTTGTCTGAGAAACCTGACGTGACGATGCGACGAACAACTCACGAAGTTCGGCCTGGAAATGCTGTACAAAACCTTCCCAGACGTGACGCCAAAGTGCCCACTCCCAGGAAGCTCACACCCTCTGAGAAACTGCAGACGGCAGAGAAAGAACGAGAAAGACTGGGGGACGAAGCGGACAGGAGGGAGGGAAGAGGGGCAGTTCCCGCAAGCGGGGCGTCAGAACCAGGGGCTGCCCCTCAGGAGCTTTACCCGCTGCGAGGAGGTTGTGGGGCGGTGAGCACGGCTTGAAGAGCTTGGTCGCCTTTACTGTGACCCCCCCCCCGCACTGCACGCCAAATACGATCGGCGCCCGAACCCTCACCGTGCGACACGTGGAATCTGTGTC